CTGAACATCTAATCAAATGGCTACCCAGACTATTTACATTGCCCCCCCCCACTGCTGCTACTCTCTGTTTATTATCTATGCATAGTCACTTTAATAACACTACCTACATGTACATATTACCTCAATTACTTCGACTAACCGGTGCCCCCGCACATTGACTCGGTACCGGTACCCCCTGTATATAGCCTCGCTATTGTTATGTTTACTGCTGCTCTTTAATTATTTGTTAGTTTTATTTCGTATAATTTTATATTTAATATTTTTGATTTTTTTTGGTATTCTTTCTTAAAACTGCATTGTTGGTTAAGGGCTTGTAAGTAAGCATTTCACTGTAAGGTCTACACTTGTTGTATTCGGCGCATGTGACATAGAATTTGATTTGATTTTAATCAATGGCTTGTACTTCTCACACTAAAATGTGAGCTTGTAGACCTTATTTACTGCTCCTCATATAACCTCTAATGCTTCACTACTTCTCATTGGCCTTTCTTCAGTGATCTCCGCTTTCCCAATGTAATGGCCACCATACAGACACATACAGTACATATATTATCACCTAGCGCTAGCCATCGGAGTCGAATGGCCCCCAGAGAGCTGTTGGTCTGCCATAATGGATCCCCTAAAGTTTCTGTTGTGCCTTACTGCCTTTTAACCCAGAGCCAGCAGAGCATTGCCAGAGAGTAACTCAGCTCATCCATCACTAATATCAGGTGCCCACCTGGGTGATGCATGCTGGCCATTTTGGACTAGGACATCCCAGGACACGACACATCATAGCTATGCAGTACCATAACTGCAGTCTGGGAGGAGAGGGACTTTGAGTTGTTGTTATTTCTGTTGGAATGGAATAAGACCATTTAGCAAATGTACAATACATTGCGGTCTCTACTTTGCTATGATTCTCCCTCAATTCATGACACCAAAATATTTTCTCCTGTATGACAACTACAATGAGAACAAGTTTGTTGACTGGTTGCATTAATATTTTAGGTAATTGTGAACTCGCGACTAATTGTGACAAAAGTAGAAAAATGTCTTTAGGTGTGGGTGTGTGCAATTACATTAGCAAAATGTGTCTGCGATAATTGGGTTAGCACTTCTCTAACAACATCCTCTCCGCCCCCGCTTTTATTGTCTTTTAACTTTCTGGCCGATTATGAAAACAGAAAAACTAAACAAGGGGATGCTTCATGTTGATGATATAATGTTGTGGAAACTTTACAGTAGCAGGTGGCAGAACGACTTGAGCAATTCTCCCTCCTTCAATTGGAACAACAGCTCATTATAATCTTGGAATAATCAAAAGGAAACATAGCTCCAAGCAGCAATGATTGGGGTTCACAGGATGGCAGAAAGGACACAAGATTAGTTGGATAACAAAGCAAGCACTCTATCATGTAGGAACTATCTTCCTTTATGTGCAATCAGTGAAAGCATTACCGTGTTGATATAAATCTCAGTTGGTACACTCAACATTAGCATTCCCAAATAGTTCAATGGACTCTCATAGCAGTAATATGCTGACTGCCTAGCGGCAGGACTCATTCTCATTTTACAGAATAAAATTACCACTTTTCACTACATTCAGACCACATAATAGGGCAGCAATATGTGATTATACAGATCATATACTAATCACGATATTTCACATTGTTCATCTGCATAATTTAAATCTAAGATGCAAAACGGATGTCAAGGGGAAAAAATGATCTAAGAAATATTACAAAAGTTAATTAATATTTCCTTATTTTTTAAGATATCAATTCCAAACTTAACATGGTTCATCATGGGCTCCCAAGTGGCGCAGTTGTCTAAGGTACTGCATCGCAGTGCTTGAGGCGTCACTACAGACCCAAGTTTGATCCCAGGCTGTGTCACAGCCGGCCGTGACCGGGAGACCAATGAGGCGGCACACAATTGGCCAAGTGTCGTCCGGGTTAGGGGAGGGTTTGGCCGGGCGGGATTTCCTTGTCCCATCACGCTCTAGCGACTCCTTGTGGCGGGCCGGGCGCCTGCAAGCTGACTTCGGTCGCCAGCTGGACAGTGTTTCCTCTGACACATTGGTGTGGCTGGCTTCCGGGTTAAGTGAGCAGTGTGTCAAGAAGCAGTGCCGCTTGACAGGGTCGTGTTTCGGAGGACACATGGCTCTCGACCTTCGCCTCTCCCGAGTCCGTAGGGGAGTGGTTCATCATGGTAATGTCTTTGATGACCCTAAAAAGTTTAAATTTGATAGGCATTTTACATTTTAGTCATTTAGCAGACGCTCTTATCCAGAGCGACTTACAGTTAGTGAGTACATACATTTTTCATACTGGCCCCCCATGGGAATCGAACCCACAACCCTGGCGTTGCAAGCACCATGCTCTACCAACTGAGTTACAGGGGACTATAGGCCATTGTGAAGTGGATTTACAAAGGATAAAAATGGATACGTAAAATCTGATTTCCTGATTTATCAATAACTCAGCCATCTCTTAACCAATCCCTTAGCTGTTTTGGGCCTACATACCAAATTTGGTGTTATTTGGACTCATGATAAGACGCTTTCCAACATTTCCAAGATGGTGGAGAATCTGGCCTGACGGACCTTATGGGTCCTTGAGGCAAATTCGTTCAGCATGAGGAAAGTCACCTACATACAAAGTTTCAATTCTCTAGGTCAAACGGGGCAGCGGATATGAGGGTTTAAGTGAGACTGATTATAACAGCGCCACCTATAGGCCAATTGGTGCCATTCCTTTTTACCAAGTTACTCATGGCCTCTAGTGTTAATTCAAATAAAATATATACAAAAATAAATTGATCACAAGGTCATACAAAGGTATAATCATTGATATGTATGCAGAAGAGCTGCTTAAAATAAACATATATATATTTCTTTATTTTTACTGTTTTTTACATTGTAGAATAATAGTGAAGACATCAAAATTATTTAAATCAAAATATATTTGAGATTTGAGATTATTCAAATAGCCACCCTTTGCCTTGATGACATCTTTGCACACTCTTGGCATTATCTCAACCAGCTTCATGAGGTAGTCACCTGGAATGTATTTCAATCAACAGGTGTGCCTTTTAAAAGTTAATTTGTGGAATTTCTTTCCTCCTTAATGCGTTTGAGCCAATCAGTTGTGACAAGGTAGGGGGGGTATACAGAAGATAGCCCTATTTGGTAAAAGACCAAGTCCATATTATGGCAAGAACAGCTCAAATAAGCAAAGAGAAACAACAGTCCATCATTACTTTAAGACATGAATGTCAGTCAATACGGAAAATGTCAAGAACTTTGAACGTTTCTTCAAGTGAAGTCGCAAAAACCATTAAGCGCTATGATGAAACTGGCTCTCATGAGGACCGCCACAGGAAAGGAAGACCCAGAGTTACCTCTGCTGCAGAGGATAAGTTCATTAGAGTTACCAGCCTCAGAAATTGCAGCCCAAATAAATGCTTCACAGAGTTCATGTAACAGACACATCTCAACATCAACTGTTCAGAGGAGACTGTGATTTTTATTTTGTTTTATTTAACTAGGCATGTCAGTTAAGAACAAATTCTTATTTACAATGACGGCCTACACCGGCCAAACCTGTACGACGCTGGGCCAATTGTGCACCACCCAATCACAGCCGGTTGTGATACAGCCTGGAATCAAACCAGGGGGTCTGTAGTTACGCCTCAAGCACTGAGATGCAATGCCTTAGACCGCTGCGCCACTTGGGAGCCCAGGCCTTCATGGTCGGATTGCGGCAAAGAAACCACTACTAAAGGACACCAATAATAAGAAGAGACTTGCTTGGACCAAGAAACACGAGCAATGGACATTAGACCGGTGGAATTGTGTCCTTTGGTCTGGAGTCCAGATTTGAGATTTTTGGTTCCAACCGCCGTGTCTTTATTAGATGCGGTGTGGGTGAACGGATGATCTCCGCATGTGTATTTCCCACCGTAAAGCATGGAAGAGGAGGTGCTTTGGTGTGGGGGTGCTTTGCTGGAGACACTGTCTGTGATTTATTTAGAATTCAAGGCACACTTAACCAGCATGGCTACCACAGCATTCTACAGCGATACGCCATCCCATCTAGTTTGGACTTAATGGGACTATCATTTGATTTTCAACAGAACAATGACCCAACACACCTCCAGGCTGTGTAAGGGCTATTTGACCAAGAAGGAGAGTGATGGAATGCTGCATCAGATGACCTGGCCTCCACAATCCCCCAACCTCAACCCAATTGAGATGGTTTGGGATGAGTCGGACGGCAGAGTGAAGGAAAAGCAGCCAACAAGTGCTCAGCATATGTGGGAACTCCTTCAAGACAAGCATTCCAGGTGAAGCTGGTTGAGAGAATGCCAAGAGTGTGCAAAGCTGTCATCAAGGCAAAGGGTGGTTATTTGAAGAATCTCAAATATATTTTGATTTGTTTAACACTTTTTGGGTTACAACATGATTCCATATGTGTTATTTCATAGTTTTTCTACAATGTAGAAAATAGTAAACATAAAGAAAAACCCTTGAATGAGTAGGTGTGTCCAAACCTTTGACTGGTACTGTGTAATAATATAACAATGTAAAATGTCAACATAAATAGTTAGATACTGACTGATTTGTGTTCCAAAATGGCTTAGCATACAAGAAAGGAAAGAGGAAAAAAAAGGGTAGTCACTTATGGCAGAGCATTAGTATCTAAAATTCCAGTGATAGATAGTGATCTTTTTTTTTTGACAATGTTTCCAAAGTTTCTGTCTGCCAAATTAGAATAAAAGTTACCAATGTATGCTAGAATTATTTGACCATGTCGCTGTGAACACCTAATAAATAAATAATTCATTTCCTCTTTGATTCGATTAGTGAGTAACAAAAAGCTGTGGTCGTTTTTTGCATGTGTATACTCAGACAACCTGTTTGGTGGATTGTGCTGACAGCTTCTGTGTGTGGGTGTGTGTGTGCCTGTGCGTGTGTGTGTGTGTGTGTGTGTGTGTGTGTGTGTGTTGCTTTGTAGGAGAGGAGACGGCTGCAGAATGACATACTGCAGCTCAACACCTACGTGGCTTTGTTCACATTCACACCCCAGGAAAGTGAAGACCTGGAGATGAGGTCAGTGGGATCCACACACACGCACGCACGCACGCACGCACGCACGCACGCACGCACGCACGCACGCTCGCTCGCTCGCTCGCTCGCTCACTCACTCACTCACTCACTCACTCACTCACTCACTCACTCACTCACTCACTCACTCACTCACTCACTCACTCACTCACTCACTCACTCACTCACTCACTCACTCACTCACTCACTCACTCACTCACTCACTCACACACTCACACACACACTCACACACACACACACACATTTTCTTTGTAATCACATTGTGTTAACAATTACCTTTGCTCCTTTTGAATGTCTAACACATACTGTGTTTACCTAGATAAGCAGGCAGGCGTCACGAAATGCATGCTCTAATCACTGCTCAATAGATATTTGTCAGTGTTCTTCTCTAATACAAGATGAACAAACATTGTATTTTTTGTTACGCATCATAATTTCATTTTCTGTGATTTGTGTGATCTTCCGTTTTATACCTGCTCAGTTTAACAACCGTAACAACCATCTCTTAATCATACACTCTCAGAAAAAAAGGTATCGAATTGAACGTACAGTTTTTCTCAATCGTGTACAAGCATTTTTTTGAACAATATTGTTGACACACAACTCTGTGGCCTTTTGCGAAACAGTACATGTGTTTTCAAAATGTAGTTGCCTTCTCAAAACATAAATACATTAATCAAAAAATTGCAAATACATTCATCAAAAATATTAATTAAAAAGATTAACGCAAACGTACATATCTCTTGAGTACAAGCAGACAAAACAAAGTTTGTAAAAAATACAAGTAGATCAATACATTTTCTTTGCGGTCACTAAATCATGATGATCAAAATTGGAAGTACAACTATCCAAAGGTGCAGAATTATGGGCAATTACTCTCCTTTTCATGCATATTTCACCAAACCATTTCATACACATCAAATATTATTCCTGATTTTAAAAGGAAGAAGAAAAATCACATTGTGTAAAGGATTCATTCTTTGGTATCATCACAATCCAAATCCATGTATTCAATACATAGACTGGTTTGCTCATAGTTTTGTAGACTTTCCATTGGCGCACAGAAACACAATTCACAATTGAAATAAGGAAGGGTGAATACAATGGAGGAACACAACTGATATGAATGTATTGGCCTCCACACCAAAGCAAAGCTCTAAAATGAAGGTCACAATGTTAGAGACGATAACTTAGGAGTAACCCAAAGTTACTTAGAAGTAACCCAACTTCAGTCTCTGCATCTCTGCATGTCCGCAATATTGTAAAAAATCATACAAATTTGACAGGCCCCATTTGCCTAGATACAGTATTTCTCTATATTGTACATGGTATGACACTGATGGAGTGATTTAGAATTTTGTGCAGTACTAGTTCACTGATTGCCGGAAACAGTAAACACAATTGCACACATTTCTCTTCTGATGAAAACAATGTGTTAATATTCGGTGAACAAAACACTTCAAGCAGCAATCAGCAGTTGAAACAAAGCAATCTCCCCACCCCTATTTCAGTAAAAAGCTGACCATCTATGATATCAAAATTATAGTTTTTAACCATGTTTTGAGGCTATATAGTGTGTTTAAATGTACTTTGTTTACAAGCATAGGAGGAAAACAAGCTTATATTTTGGGTTCTAAAGTTAAAAACATTGATGTTGCAAGTGCAGATTTCCCCTTTAACAGTGCATTTTGTATTCACTGATGACATTTGAATTTAAAGTTTAGGAAAAGGTGGTCTAAGATATGCAAGTCAGGTACAAAGCCAAGAAAAGTATCAGAAGTTCTGTAAATGTATTTAAGCATTTGATCAATGCTATTCTGCTATAGATACGTTTCAACACAGATCCAAAAACTGCTTGTACGTGATTAAGAAAAACTGTAAAGCTGAGATCCGCAAAAGTTGAAACAGCGCCACTGGTCGCCCCAGGCGCATTTGTTATTGTTTTTGTGTTGTTAACTAAATGGAGGTGAGGCGCGTCCAAACGGAGGTGAGCAGCGTGGTACAAAAATGTACAGTACATATTCTTCTGTTCTATCATGCGTGCAAAAAACAGTGTTTGTTGTTTGCAGTAACTTCTTTGTTGTTGTAATATCCCAAACTAACGTGGCAGTTTCACCATTAACACTAGAACCGCTGGGCCTTGAGGGCCCTTCTTTGAGCTAATGAACGGTTATTATGACTGCAACATTCTGAAGGTGTAATCAAAACATTTCATATATGCTATCGCAACAATAATAATTTGGTTGTGTTTATGAAGGTCTTATGTAACATTAGATACAAAAAAATATTTCAAATAACACAATTGCATTTTCATTAGTTTATGTTACCATAGGCTAAATGCTAAAACAAAAAAATATATAACCCCAAAAAATTATAGTGTTCAAAATGTTATGCGGTTGCAGTTTCTTATTATAACAAAAAAAATATATATATAATGCATTCGGAAAGTATTCAGACCCCTTGACTTTTTCCACATTTTGTTACGTTACAGCCTTATTCTGAAATTGATTAAATTGTTTTTTCCCCTCATCAATCTACACACAATAACCAATAATGACAAAGCAAAAACAGGTTTTTATATTTTTTAGCAATTTTATATTTAAAAAAAAAATGAAATATTTCTATTTACATAAGTTTTCAGACCCTTTACTCAGTACTTTATTGAAGCATCTTTGGCAGCGTTTACAGCCTCAAGTCTTCTTGGGTATGACGCTACAAGTTTGGCACACCTGTATTTGCGGAGTTTCTCCCATTCTTTTCTGCAGATCGTCTCAAGCTCTGTCAGGTTGGATGGGGAGCGTCGCTGCACAGCTATTTTCAAGGTCTCTCCAGAGATGTTCAATCTGGTTCAAGTCCGGGCTCTGGCTGGGCCACTTAAGGACAGTCAGAGACTTGCCCGAAGCCACTCCTGCGTTGTCTTGGATGTGTGCTTAGGGTCGTTGTCCTGTTGGAAGGTGAACCATCACCCCAGTCTGAGGTTCTGAGCGCTCTGGAGCAGTTTTTTATCAAGGATCTCTCTGTACTTTGCTCTGTTCATCTTTCCCTCGATCCTGACAAGTCTCCCAGTCCCTGCCACTGAAAAACATCCCCACAGCATGATGCTGCCACCACCATGCTTCACCGTAGGGATGGTGCCAGGTTTCCTCCAGACGTGACGCTTGGCATTCAGGCCAAAGGGAGAATCTTGTTTCTCATGGTCTGAGAGTCCTTTAGGTTCCTTTTGACAATCTCCAAACGGGCTGTCATGGGCCTTTTACTGAGGAGTGGCTTCCGTCTGGCCACTCTACCATAAAGGCCTGATTCGTAGAGTGCTGCAGAGATGGTAGGCCTTCTGGAAGGTTCTCCCATCTCCACAGAGGAACTCTGGAGCTCTGTCAGAGTGACCATCGGGTTCTTGGTCACCTCCCTGACTAAGGCCCTTCTCCCCGATTGCTCAGGTTGGCCGGGCGGCCAGCTCTAGGAAGAGTCTTGGTGGTTCCAAACTTCTTCCATTTAAGAATGATGTAGGCCACTGTGTTCTTGGGGACCTTCAATGCTGCAGAAATTTTTTGGTACCCTTCCCCAGAGCTGGGCCTCGTCACAATCCTGTCTCGGAGCTCTACCGACACTTCCTTCGACCTCATGGCTTGGTTTTTGCTCTGACATGCACTGTCAACTGTGGGACCTTATATAGGCAGGTGTGTTCCTTTCCAAATCATGTCCAATCAATTGAATTTACCACAGGTGGACTCAAATCACGTTGTAGAAGCATCTCAAGGATGATCAATGGAAACAGGATGCAGCGAAGCTCAATTTCGAGTCTCATAGCATAGGGTTTGAATACTTATGTAAATAAGGTATTTCTGTTTTTTATTTTTATACATTTGCAAAATTTTCAAAAAAACCTGTTTTCACTTTGTCATTATGGGGTATTGTGTGTAGATTGATGAGGAAGAAAATAAATTGCATCAATTTTAGAATAAGGCTGTAACGTAACAAAATGTGGAAAAAGTCAAGGGGTCTGAATACTTTCCGAATGCACTGAACAAAAATATAAACGCAACATGTAAAGTGTTGGTCCCATGTGCTGAAATAAAATATCCCAGATATTTTCCATATGCACAAGAAGCTTATTTCTCTTACATTTTGTGCACAAATGTGTTACATCCCTGTTAGTGAGCATTTCTCCTTTGCCAAGATAATTCATCTACCTGACAGCTGTGGCATGTCAAGAAGGTGATTAAACAGCTTGATCATTGCACAGGTGCACCTTGTGCTCGGGACAATTCAAGGCCACCCTAAAATGTGCAGTTCTGTCACACAACACAATGCCACAAATGTCTCAAGATGTCTCCTGACTGCAGGAATGTCCAACAGAGCTGTTGCCAGATAATTGAATATTGAATATTATTGAATAAAAATTTCCCTACCATAAGCTGCATCCAACATCGTTTTAGAGAATTTGGCGGTACGTCCAACTGGCCTCACAACCGCAGACCACGTGTAACCAGGCCAGCCCAGGACCTCCACATCTGACTTCTTCACCTGCGGGATCGACTGAGACCAGCCACCTGGACATCTGATGAAACTGAGGAGTATTTATGGCTGTAATTCTGATTGGCTGGGCCTGGCTCCTCAGTGGGTGGGCCTGGCTCCCAAGTGGGTGGGCTTATTCCCTCCCAGGCCCACCCATGGCTGCACCCCTGCCCAGTCATGTGAAATACATATATTAGGGCCTAATGAATTTATTTCAATTGACTTTTTTCCTTCTATGAACTCAGTAAAATCTTTGAAATTGTTGCATGTTTCGTTTATATTTTTGTTCAGTGTATATACCCCAACCACCAAGATGCACAGTCAACAAGATGCACGGCCAAATGATGAAAACATCAGTAGCCTAAACATCTTTATAAGCACCAAGTGTGCTTGATAAATAGTGAAAATCAGCACAAAAGCAAAAATGGCATTATAATGAGTATACTGTTAAGTGTCGATATGACGGCAGTCAAAAATAGTCTGTTATTGTCAGCTCGTGCTTACATGGTGTGCATCTTCACGCAATGGCATCAGTTGGAGCATGTCCATGTCACATAAACAACAAAAGCTGGTGAGTGCTTTGCTGATGTTGTTTTTTGCTTGAGATGTAGGGCCTGCTCTCTCAGTCAGGACATTTTGTGCTGATAATCGGCCCGTAGCATTGTCACCGGCTGGTTGTATATGTGTGAAATTAGTTACGGTATAGTTTAGGTTAAATTTCTAGGCATTTATCGAGGTGATTATCAACTGTGCACCTTCAACTGTTGGGTGATGGAGGGGAGCAGGTCCTACTGTCGGGAGAATGAGGGGCATTCAAGAAATGGCATGCCCTCCTAAACTGGTTATAACTCTAGCCCAAAGGCCAGCAGATGGCGATATTGAGTCGTGTCATCTTACCGTCCAAATAGATTGTATGCAGCCGGCAATACATTCGTATCCCTCGTGGACCGGATCATACCTAAAACATTCTCCATTCAGGCTGCATATGCTTCGATTTCCTCCTTAACTTTATTTAATGTTGAGAAGGCGAAAAAAACGAAAATGCTAAAATTGTCTGCAACTCAAACATATATAGCTACAGATCTTCCCTGAGAACAGTCTTGGATTCCACTAATGCGATGCTGCTAATGCAGCAGGTGCAAAAGAAAAGGAACCCCTGTTCTGATAGTTTCAACCTGATTGGCTGAACGCGATTCACAACATCCGGGATTAGCATTTAGCTACTCTAGCATGGTGGGGGAAAATTGTGTTTCTCGGTGTAGTAACAAACCCCCACCTCGCAACCTATGCGACCCCAAAATGTTCACACCCCTCTTGTTTGCGTAGAGAACATTTTGCAGTTTTAAAGTTCATTTCCTGCAATTCTATACAACGCTATGAGTCCCACATAGTGGTTAGTATCAGCGGATACAGAAGAAATAAACGAATCCAATGCACAAAAAAAAACACACAATGTTTAAAAGGGATTGGAAGCACTAAATCACGCCGGCGTGATTGTGGGGCTCATAGCGTTGTATAGAATTGCAAAATGTTCTCTATGCAAACAAGAGGGGTGTGAACAGTTTGGGGTTGCATGGGTTGCGAGGTGGGGGTTTGTTACTACACCGATAAATGACTATCTCCATCCGGACCTTTGTCACCTAGGAAATTAGTGTGACCGGACCTTCTCAAATAGTAGTTGAGTATCCCTGCTATCGAGGTACCATTAGTTATAGGTACTGTTAGGTTCTAAACGAACAGAGTAAAACTCACGGACGATTAGTAAAGCTCAACCAAGTTTATTCACCCACTGGGTCCCACAGCTGCATAAGACAAAGACATGTTTCCACCAGCACAAGTATATATACCCCAATTTGGGTGAAGTATCCTCCCTTCCCTCTAAACATTACATGTTTATTGCTAGGCAGGAAGTTAAGTGATGCGGGCAATAAACTGTTCCTTCTCCCTTAATGTGACCTGACCTCATTCCTCACTTCTCACTGATCCACAGCTATCCACCCTTATCAGTGACTGCAACCATGTGATTGCTTCCACCATATACATTCCTCCTACAGATAACAATTGACTTCTGGTGTAGAAACCAGACTATGGCACTTCTCATTTCCATAGGATACTTGATAATTAACAATAACATGTTATGCCAGTACTTACACGTCCTGCATTCCTCTCTCTCCCTCTGTGACATGATTAAGGATATTTCTAGTTTATAAGTCAGAACCCATCAGTACATAATTGTACCCTTGCAGTTCGTACCTTCAAAGATCCAAAAGGTACAAATTTACCTTTTTAGGGTACCACCACAGTGACAAAGCTGTGTGTTCCTATTAAGTGGCAAAAATGTACCTCTTCTCTATACCAAGACCCTCACGTGTACTCCACCATCCCACTTCTGACATCAATGTAGCAAATTCAGTGGGTAGCCCCGACCGGGACTCGAACCTGGGTCCAGCAACTGTCAAGCCAACAACTTAACCATTACGCCAAAAGGTCTGTACCTCTTGGCAAGGTCGCTCAGTGTTGGCTTAAGGTTGCTACAATATTAATGCAGCTCTTTGTCACATGCTCTTGTGAAAGCCTTTATAAGGTCTTATCTCCCGAGTGGCGCAGTGGTCTAAGGCACTGCATCGCAGTGCTAGCTGTGCCACTAGAGATCCTGGTTCGAATCCAGGCTCTGTCATAGCCGGCCGCGACCGGGAGACCAATGGGGCGGCGCGCAATTGGCCCAGCGTCGTCCAGGGTAGGGGAGGGAATGTCCTGCAGGGATGTAGCTCAGTTGATAGAGCATGGCGTTTGCAACGCCAGGGTTGTGGGTTTGATTCCCACAAGGGGTATGAAAGATAAAAAATAAAAAATGTATGCATTAACTGTAAGACATATATTAACTGGCAGACATATCAGTATGGATGACGGATCACCACCTAAAGCTGAACCCTGGCAAGACGGAGCTGCTCTTCCTCCCGGGGAAGGACTGCCCGTTCCATGATCTCGCCATCACGGTTGACAACTCCGTTGTGTCCTCCTCCCAGAGTGCGAAGAGCCTTGGCGTGACCCTGGACAACACCCTGTCGTTCTCCGCTAACATCAAGGCGGTGACCCGCTCCTGCAGGTTCATGCTCTACAACATTCGGAGAGTACGACCCTGCCTTACACAGGAAGCGGCACAGGTCCTAATCCAGGCACTTGTCATCTCCCGTCTGGACTACTGCAACTCGCTGTTGGCTGGCCTCCCTGCCTGTGCCATTAAACCCCTACAACTCATCCAGAATGCCGCAGCCCGTCTGGTGTTCAACCTTCCCAAGTTTTCTCACGTCACCCCCCTCCTCCACACACTCCACTGGCTTCCAGTTGAAGCTCGCATCCGCTACAAGACCATGGTGCTTGCCTATGGAGCAGTGAGGGGAACGGCACCTCTGTACCTTCGGGCTTTGATCAGTCCCTACACCCAAACGAGGGCATTGCGTTCATCCACCTCTGGCCTGCTGGCTCCCCTTCCTCTGCGGAAGCATAGTTCCCGCTCAGCCCAGTCAAAACTGTTCGCTGCTCTGGCACCCCAATGGTGGAACAAGCTCCCTCACGACGCCAGGACAGCGGAGTCACTCACCACCTTCCGGAGACATTTGAAACCCCACCTCTTTAAGGAATACCTGGGATAGGATAAAGTAATCCTTCTACCCCCCCCCCCCCCCCCCCCCAAAAAAAAAATGTGTAAAGTGGTTATCCCACTGCCTATAGGGTGAATGCACCAATTTGTGAGTCGCTCTGTTTAAGAGCGTCTGCTAAATGACGTAAATGTGCCCTTGAGCAAGGCACTTAACCCTAATTGCTCCTGTAAGTCGCTCTGGATAAGAGCGTCTGCTAAATGACTAAAATGTAAATGTAAATGTCTTTAGAACTGGCAGCAGACATGCTCAAACTTTAACCAACATAAACATAGAACACTTAAACTGGTACAACACTTCCCCTCAGGAGTGGTCAGAAATAACTAACTGAAAACTACGTCCCTACTAAGCCACGCCTCCAAGGATTGTACTTTTATATTCAAAATATTGGGGACAAAAATGTACCATAATACTACATAATCCACACATGTACCCTAAAAGGTACTGAACCGTATCATGTGAGATCACTCTGAAGGTACATTATGTGTATTTATATTTTTGTACCCCAGGGAACAATACTGTACCCTAACTGTACCCTATTTTCACAGAGTGTAAACCAAACATTAACTGAAAAGAATGCATTAGATTATAAAGATATTGTTATATGAATACGGTTGTGATTTGACCTGATGACAATATGATGTGATAGAAAGATGGTTATGAGACAAATGTCTCTGTCTCTGATATTTTCTGAAACCTGTGGTAAACTGCCAATTGTCTGGACTACCTAAACGTTAACAGATAGGGAACCCTTTTTATGGCACTTTTCGGGTTTCTATCTCAACAGCCCTTGGCCCTAAGTATCCATTTTACTACATCGTTCCCTCAGTAATCCTGATAGTCTTCTCTCGGACACTCCAATATTCTGAGATCCTCCTCCTTGCTCCCTAGCCTAGACAGATTTCAATCATACCACACTTAATTTGAAATGTATTGACACCCACAGCACAGCATGACTCCTAGCCCACAAATAGCTGCTGTACAGTTGCCCACTGCTGCAAGTGTTGTTTTAAATGTTTTCCAATGAAAGCCAAGCTAGACAGGATCAAGGTCTCAGGATCCCAATACAGACCTTAATCAATACTTTAGACGGACACAAAAAAAATCACAATGTAGGCACCCTCATCAAAAGCGGGAACATTTCAATCTCTTTTTACATTACATGTTGTGAACATTTGACACCTGGCTTGTGATAACTTTCTTTGGCATTTTTTGATTAGCCTATTGCTACATGATTATGATGGTGATGATGAATTCTAAAAGCATGATTCCAAACATATTCTGATTGGCTATATACATAATTGTTCAAAATCAACTGTCTTTTTAAAATTAATTAATTTGTTCAAACTAAACAGTCCTGATTAGGGTAGCAAAATTCCTGTAACTTTCCCAAAATTCCCATGTTTTCCAGAACTCCTGGTAGGAGGATTCCCGGATTTCCTGCTTATTCCCTCGTAATTCCAGGAATCCTTTTAACCAGGATATATGGAAAATGTATATATATGAAAAGCAACCCTAGTCCCAATTCAATCGACATCATGTTTAAAAGAGACGTATGACTTGAGGAAGCAACAAGTCGTAAATGAAACAACATTATTTCAGGTTTGTCTTTCTTATTGTCAGATGAGATCTCATTTAGAGCACCAGAGCTCTATTCTCTCTTGAGTCACTCAGAGAGCATTTTCAGTAACAGTCCTCTAATTAGACCACAAGAGATGAATGACAGGCAGGAAACATTTACACTGCCTGTTGATTCTCATTGGTTGAAAAATATTTGTCAAGGCTTCGCAAAGGCTTTGAATGGATAACAATGAGGACACATAAGGAAGGAAAAACAATAGGTGAAAACTGAGGCATCGTTTGTATGGCCATTAACAGACAATAATAGAGTGCAATTGAACAGTGTGAGGAGGCGGCAGAGGCTGTTTTCACTGACTTCAGCTACCCTGTAGGAAACAGCAGTAGCCTGTTTCTGAATCATCATATCCTGTCCTCCAGGATATCCAACAGTCTTTTTGTCCTCCAATATTTATACTGATATACCAGCAATATGTTTAAGCAATAAGGCCTGAGGGGGTGTGGTATATGGCCAATAAACCACGGCTAATGGCTGTTCTTAAGCACGACGCAATGTGGAGTGCCTGGATACAGCCCTTAGCCGTGGTATACTGGCAATATACCACAAACCCCCGAGGTGCCTTATTGCTATTATAAACTGGTTACCAACGTAATTAGAGCAGTAAAAATAAATGTTTTGTCATACCCATGGTATACGGTCTGATATACCACGGCTTTCAGCCAATCAGCATTCAGGGCTCGACCCACCCAGTTTATATTTTAGATTATACACTGAGTATACCAAACATTAGGAACAGCTTCATAATATTGAGTTGCACCCCCCCATTTTGCCCTCAGAACAGTCTCAATTCGTCTAGTCATGAACTCTACAAGGTGTCAAAAGCGTTCCACAGGGATGCTGGCCCATGTTGACTCCAATGCTTCCCACAGTTGTATCAAGTTAGCTGGATATCCTTTGGGTGGTGGACCATTCATGATACACACAGGAAACTGTTGAGCGTGAAAAACCTAGCAGCGTTGCAATTCTTGGCACAAAGCGGTGCTCCTGGCACCTACTACCATACCCCGTTCAAAGGCACTTAAATCTTTTGTCTTTCCCTTTCACCCTCTGAATGGCACACATACACAATCCATGTCTCAATTGTCTCAAAGCTTAAAAGTCCTTCTTTAACCTGTCTCCTCCTCTTCATCTACACTGATTGAAGTGGATTTAACAACATTGTTCACTCAATGTACGTGTTTGTCTGTTCCTGTGACATTGATTTTTAATACGCAATTTATTTCCAATTTAGACCCGGAGACAGAATCGTACTGGCGGACGACTCCAATGATGATTGGTGGAAGGTATGAAAGTGTTTCACTTTTGGAAGACACACTGTTTATATTAAGTGCTTTGTAACACCAGAACACTAGTGGCAACTGAGCTGCCACCAATGGGAAGGAGACGAAACCTTAACTTTGCTGGAGTATTGAAAGACATCATCTTGAGATGTTTTGAAACATTACGTGGTGTGTTGTAACACCCCTTAATCAAGTGTTGCGCAACACCTTGCCGGAAATGTTTAAACACTATTTTGGTGTTTCAAGTTGTATTTAGTGCAGAATTAGATGCCTTCTCCTTTGGTGTCGTTCCCTCTCTCTATAGCTTCTAAACATTATTATGGTGTTTCAAATCCTGCCTAATGCAGAATTACATCTCTTCCTCTGGAGTATTTTTATGTTTAACATTGATTTATGTATCTTATCATTTGCCAGTTTAACCCATTATGGTAGGCAGTGCTTAATCCACCAGCAATAACTACAGGTTTTACAGCAAGCATTGCAGGATACTGTATTTGTCTCTACAATTAAAAGTTGGAAATGTGGGAATGGGTTGTCGTGACGTGACCTTCATTAATATGATGACTGTTATTTATCGAATCAACTAACTATGTTTAATTGTTACTCGATTAAATTAATAATGTTACAATTAACTCATTAGGATTTGGGGCACCACAGAATAATTTGTTTATAGAGTTACCATCTCCCGAATTAAACTCTAAAAGGTATTTACCTATCAATATGAATAAAACAGTCAACGTATCAATCATTACCTCTTATCAGTCGTCATTCTGAATGGTCGCAGAATTCTTGGATCCACAAGATCCCAGCTTTACCTTTGCTTCAGCACCACACAAATTGACTGAATTACTTATTTACTAGCTAACTAAATAATAACACAGAATACATACATACTTAATACATGAGAAAAAGCCCTCTTGGAAAGGAGGTTTTGGTTGGGTCTTTGCTCAGCTCACTTGTTATGATCTGATTGTCCACCAGAGGTCACAATGTCCTTATTTTTTCTGGCTTGTAGTGGAGTGTACTCAGAGCAGATACTCTGTGATTGTCTGCGATGGGATTTTCTCCTTCCCACCTCGTGTGGTTAGTCAAAGTTCTAGATCACTACACGCACAGCTGCAGACTGGCAATGTTCTGGTCTAGTGAGTTTATCTTCTTCTCCTCGTGTTGAGATTCAAAGTTCTAACCATTTCAAACGTGTGGACTACCGTCTCCACGCTTTCTGGTCTTTCTGGTCTAACCATTTTAAGCCGTGTAGCCACAGCTCCACGCTTTCTGGTCTCTCTCGTCTAACCATTTTAAGCTGTGTTGCCACAGCTCTACGCTTTCTGCTCTAATGTAAATTTCGTTACCAAGGCTTTTTATGCACTCTGGTAAAAGGGGCATTCCTACTTGCTGACACGGTCTCTGAGCTCACTCAGGGTGTGTCTAGTCACCGTGCATAGCTTATATGAAAACCTATGATCTCGTTAGAAAACTAAAATCACATTCCTATCTTAACAAAAATACTCTCGTAATTCTCCATATTATATACACAACATATTGGATGTAAACTTGACATATAAAGTGTGTATACTTTCCAAATTACAGTATTTTCGTTATAACATTTTTTATGACATCACAAAATAATAAACAATATGACATGATTAGTCTTTAGCTCCCCACTGACCATTCCAAACATTCAGATGTTAGGAATATTGTTTTTGGACATTATAGTTTTGGCGGCAAAAGTCTTCTGTAGGACAAAGCACATTCCTTTCACCATACTAGAGGGCCAGAGATAGATTCTCCTCCTCTCTAATTTATGGCAGAGTGTTAAGGTGTCAAGACCAGCTATAAACCAATTTTATTTCTTAACCATTTGATAGACACAGTCTGCCCAAAAAATGTGTGTGTGCATTTTGATGCTGCCTTTTAAATTCACTGAAACTCCAAAAAGTGTTACACTCTCTTAAAAAAACTGTATTCAGATTGAAGAACCACTTTGAGTGTTTCAGAGTACTTCTATTCTGTTTTAAAACACTTTCAAAGCACTTACATTGGGTTTACCCCCTCCAAACACCAGATCTCAGGTTAGGTGCACTACTACTACTACTACTTTTCATGGTGTTTTGAGTCTTTCTATTTTTACAGTGCACCTAGTACTCATACTTAAACCACTACACCACACACAAGTCTGCTGCCATGATAGTATAAGTAGTAGCTGTCATGATGTATGACATTTCCTCTGGATGATGGTTCCAGGGCGTGATCGAGGACAGGATCGGTTTCTTCCCAGCAGCCTTTGCTCACCAAGTGAAGGCCGGGGACAGAGTGTTCAGGTGTCACCGGACGTTCATCGGCTGCAAGGAGCAAGGCCAGATCACCCTGAAGGAGGGACAGGTACGTGATCCCACTGTTATATTAAAATACAATATGGCAAACTACTTTGCAACAAAAAAGGACCCACTTATGCATTGAAATGATACACAAGCAAACATGATTATTATTATCCATTGTTAAAGAATGTTTATTGTTAGTTCCTTAATTGTTTCCATGTATTACTTTATTTGGCGCAGCTCATGATCAAGCCCCAACTACAAGTGGGCATCAGACATAGTTCCTCCTCACACCAATTCCCATAGGCAATGGCAATCCTGGCCACTCAGTCCACAGGTTCACTCCTGGAACATTCACTTCAAAGCTGGCCAATTGGGAGTCACCGCCTCTCAGCAGTTTCCATGGCATTACCATTTTGCCATGGCAAATGGCTTTGCTGTCTCAAATCCTTTTCCCATAATGCTTTGCAGGGGCATTTTGGGATTCAGAGGAGAGTTCAGGCTAGTAACGCCAAATGGAGATGCATTCATTCCAAAACACTTTGAAGATGAGTCAGTGACCTCATAGCTCTGCCTCGATCCCCAATGAGTAGGAACATCCACTCTATCCAGTCACACAGCCAATATTTATTACAGTGGCCCTAAAGCTACTTTGCCCCTTAGAGCCAATGTGCATTGTTAATTAAATGTGTGTTATGATTAGTTTTCTCTGGCATCAAGTAATTCAGTATGCAAGAAGATACTTAAACACTTACATGGAGAGTTGATTCAAAGTATTTAATATTGCGGTACCGGGTTGACATAGCAAACGGCCCGTGAGTGGCCCATTGCTATATTAACTAACTGAACAAAGGAAATCTCTTAGCTTATATACTTGTTTGAAAGCTAATTCTATCCAACAGGTGCCAACCATTACTGAGTGTCATTTCTCGCCACATATAGGATCACCCTATATGGTATCGTGTTGCACCCTAGTCAGGATATTCCATCACATACTCCTTCCAAGATTAGCACCAGTGGCCCCCCAGCTATCTTGGCACGCATACCTTCTGGCACCCACCTTGACAGAAATAAATACATGGAATGTCCTCATCCTCCAAATCCTTATGCAGCTCTCAATATTCCAAACATGAACTAATCCTGTATAAAATACGTAAAATCAATGTGTTCAAATGTATTTTGCTTGTACAAAAAGCAACCAAATTACGAGAGTATTCTTCTCTGTTTCACCAGATTTGTGTAAGCGGTGAGGATGAACACAGTGGCTTCATCCGAGTTGCCAGTGGAAAGAAGAGAGGCTACGTGCCCTGTGATGTCCTGGAGAACATCTGAGAGAGAGAGAAATAGAAAGAGCCGGAGAGAGATAACGGGAGGAAGAGAAGGAGAGAGCGGAGGGAGGAGAGGCACAGTGGCACACTCCCATGGTGCACAGGGATGGCTCTGACAGTAGTTCTGATCAGCCGCCAACCTCTCAGGCGCGGGGAGGAGGATGATTGTAGTTACAAAATGGCCACCTGAGACCATGGAGGAAACCCTCTGTTGAGCTGTGACTCCAAACTCCAAAATGTTGCTGTTGCCATTAAGGGAATGGCTTTGTCAGAAGTCAGAGCCAACCTTCCCATTTCCTTTCAGTCAGAAAGGGAACATTTTGAGACGGATCAGATAACCTGAATTTCTGGTCACAGGGAGGGAGAGTGGGGTCATTGTATCACTGGATTTGGTTTGATTTTGTTTGATTTAAATAACTACTGTGCATTGTTTGTTCTTTGTGTGACTTCCCATTGGAGAATACAGGTGACACATCATGCATGAATGTACTAAATGTACTCCTGTGTCTACCAAAATAAGCATTTGTTTACATACTTTTTCAGCCTCTTTCTTTATGCATACATTCTTGCTTATATAGCGTCAGTTGCAGTATGTTTCAACCGCCTGTTTATTCTATGCCCAAATGTTCAAACACTTGTTCTCTATATCAAATAGTTGCCTATAGGCCTAGATTCTACTCTGAAATAATTAAATCATATTTTATTCACATTACTTTGATGCAAGCGGTTGAGGTTACAAACAGCGTATTTATTTAGACAAGTCCCTTTTCTTCTATGCTCGTACAATGGCTCCAATGAGCCTTGATAGCCTCTAGCTCACAATTAAAGGCCCATTCTCCTGAGACAGAGTTATTTTATCAGACCCTCTGATACAAAGAATTCCATACGTTGGTTTTGTCACTGGAGAGGAACAACAAAAAGAATCAGACGAAGCAGAAATGTGTCAAGATTCTGAGGGGAGTATTTTTCAAAGGAGTCAGACGCAATCAAAGATGAGGAATTCCTTTTTCTTTCAAAGAAATACTGTAGCCTTTTGTACAAATCTAGCTAGCGATGTATCTAGTCTAGCTGCTTACCCATCGTAAGACAAACTTCTGACTCATGAAAACACTACAAAGGACTACAATGAAGATCCTTTCTAAAAACCTGTCAAAGAGATTATTTTGAATATTTGAAACAATGAATACCTAATTTGCTAGTTGAAGTCTGATGATAATGTTCTCTTCAGGTAGTTTCTTGTTTTGATTTGTAAAGGATAATGGATTTGATAAGAAAGGATGTGAATTTACTATAAGAAGTGGGCAACCTCTGATAAGTGGTTGTATTTGAATGTATGTCATCAAATCTGCATACCTGTTATTTCAAGGTATTTGATCACAATCGTTTCAGTGAAACTCAAGTTAATGGGGGTATATGACATCTAGAGTATAACAATTATACAGTATCTTCAGAGCAGCTTCAATGCATGAGCTACATGAAATTTGGTTTTGATTTACATTCATGTATGCTTACTCCAATTGCACTAAATGGTCACTCAGATATGTCTATACACTTATTCCAAAGTAAACTTTCTAGCAAATGCTGAAGAACATTTTACGTCAGCTCAAGACATGCTTGTTGACATGTAACACAACTCTATCTATCCCTTTATTGCAATATTATCACACTGTGCTATTCCTTTCTCTTCACTGAGATGTTCTTTTAAGATTTCTTGTTCATCATGTATATTTGTTTTCTGTTTTAAAATATTGTTACAAATGAACTGTTAATGGAAAGGTATGTTAGTAAATGTGTCTCTCTCTAAGCTCATCAAAGCTGCACTGAAACTTGGCTTTATTGGATGTCAAAGTCCACTGTATTGTATGCACAGAATCAAACATATATTTCTGATCAATTTATTATCAGCATTTTGGGAAACTTTTACAGAATATATAAAGCACATTGACCTTAACTCGGGCTAGATAGCTTTCTCTTCAAACACAGGGCACTCAACTCAATATTAGGAAGGTGTTTCTAATGTTTGGTACACTCTGTGTAATAGTAGCTCAGAGACAACCCTTGGTTAACCTGGGGTCTGCTACGCTCCCAGTGAAAAATCGACCGTGACGAAGAGGCTGCTGTCCCCCTCGTCCTCATCTCCTTCCCTTCTTGAGCTCCATACACATTTTCAACATGAGAAACAAGACAGTATATCCAATGGTATGTAAAGGTAGAGCATGAATATTACCAGAAAATATCAACGTGACGCCCATGTTCTTTCTGTTTCTTATGAGGGAATGTGAATCCCTTTATTTCCCTTGGAAATATATTTCCCTTTGAAATCTCTGGTAATGCAATAATTGACATTTTCATTAGCTCACACATTGGAACTGTTAACAACTACATGCAATGTGGCAATCTAGATTGATCACACATTTTATGCGGAAGAAGAGCACCATCTACAGACAGCATAGTGAACATTGTGTTCTCATGATTATACTGCAACATAGCATCATTACGTTTTTCATTTCTCTTTATACATCTGTCACTAACTATTCATAAAACCCCCACACAGATAGCCGTGCCTCCGATTCTTGCACCCACTCGTTAATTAGCTGATGCTAATTGGCTCATCATTTGCTCAACTGGACCTAAATTATCTTTGCCCCTATCAAGCTATGATTTGTATGCTAATGAAAACAGCTGGATTGTGACTCCCATACATTTATAATGCAGCAGGAGTCTATAAAGTATTTTCATTATGTTTTGTAACAGAATGTCTATCACAGCATCCCAAGGACTGTGACAGTCATCTGAAGAACATTACTTCAGGGTGAAGTGGTATTAACAATTTTCTGTCTGAACCTTATTGTGATCAGTTGACTTTCCAATCCGATGAACATGTTAGGAAGCCACTCTGTTCATGTTCATTCCCCTCAACCTTGACAGCAGCAGAGGATAAACCATGAGGTCCATTATTAGGAGATGGTTTCACTGCAACTCTCAGGTTCAGTAGGCACAATAGGCAGTTGTTCAGAAGTGTAGTGGCTGTGGCTGCTGGATAATTATTCTGGCAGGAGGCAGAGACAATTCTAAAGACGTGCCCTTGTCTTGCTCCCCTGTTCTGTCTTTGTCATGACATCCTACATTGGTGTTGGCCTGACATTAGCCTGACATTTAGCATTTAGAGTGTTGCAGGATGTGCTACCCAGCTTGGTGAATGCAACAGGTTGACATCAGTAATAGGAATAGCTGTATAACAGTGTTAGATAAGTAAGCATCTGTCATTTTACATTGCATGCATTTGGACTGGTGTTTATTTGACATATATCCACATGATACACCCTTTGTGGTGCAATGGTGTGGGTCAGTGGAGGCTCTTCAGAGGAGGAAGGGGAGGACCATCCTTCTCAGTGAATTTCATAAAAATAAGAAATTGGTAAACATTTAAAAAGTTATCCTTTTTAGATAAAACTATACTAAATATAATCACATATCACCAAATAATTGATTCAAAAACTATTTTCCAAAGAATGTCTACAGTCCCCTCAACAGCACTTTGTAGGGTAGCACCATGCTGTAGCCGGAGGACAGCTAGCTTCCGTCCTCCTCTGGGTACATTGACTTCAATACAAAACCTAGGAGGCTCATGGTTCTCACCCCCTTCCATAGACTTGCACAGTAATTATGACAACTTCGGAGGACGTCCTCCAACCTATCAGAGCTCTTGCAGCATGAACTGACATGTTGCCCACCCAATCAAAGGATCAGATAATTAATCTAGTACTGAAAGCATAAGGTACAGCTAGCTAGTACTGCAGTGCACAAAATGTGGTGAGTAGTTGACTCAAAGAGAGAGAAAGACAGTAGTTGAACAGTTTTGAACAAATGAATTTCTTCTAAAATGTAAGAGAAGCAAGAGAGAAATAGAGAGAGATTTGGTCTTTTTATTTTTTTAAACTTTCAGTTTTACTTAACGTTACTTAGCTAGCAAATGCAGCTAACTAGTTTAGCCTACTGGAACACCCTGCTCAAACAGAGGGATGCTATGTTAGCTAGCTGGCTATGCCTTTCCAACACAGCACTGGAACTCTTCCAAGTCAAGGTAAGCTTTTGGTTTTACTAATTTATTGCCACCGGGTTCCGCCGGTGTAACTGCTTACTGACTGTACACTGTAACATTACTGTATGATTGTAGCGGGTTTACTAACGTGTTAGTTCTATTAGCTGACTGACTATGACATTACCCAGCAAACATATAGCCAGCGAGCCAGTAGCGGTCCACCGGTGGCAAAGTTAGCGGCCCACCGGCGGGCACCGCCTGCAGTTCGCCAGCGTTTTGCTAATCGTTTTTTCCAGCAGACCACCAGCGGCAACCACCACTTTTCCGACAGAGGTCCGCTACTGGGCCGCTGGTTCATAATAAGTATATGTTGGCGGTCCACGGTCGGTCCCCTGTTCATATTATCAGTATCTTTCCACACAGTAATGAATCCAAAATAATGTACAAAACTGATTAATCGTTGCAATTTTATTGTAAGACACATTACAATATAAAAATATCTACATTGAATACATGGTAACGATGAATATGCATTTTATACATTTAATAATTTTAAAAAAAATAAGTATTATACAATTAGTAATAATAATAAATATATATATAGATTTAGGCTTTCTAATTGTTATTACAGAAAATCATGTCCTGTACTACGAAATAATGTGTATGTACAGTACAATACAATATACACAGACTAACAGAAAATTGGCCTGTCTTTCTTTCCTACCCCCTTCTCTGTCAGCAGCTCCCTTCAGAAATGTTGCGACCACCTCTTGGAGGTTCCCCTCTGTTGCCTTTTTGTTCTTTCTTATTGCTCCTGAAACCACAGAACAATTCTTATCAATATTTGTTCTTCATAAATGAACAAGGTCAAGAACTATTTAAACACATCATGTTTCAGATTCAAAACTGTCTCCACGTTTAATCAAAGATGTCTATATTACCAGAAAGTGAATTCATAGACT